GAAGCCACAGGGAGGAGGAGGGAGCAAGCTTGTTTTCTGCTTCCTTGGAGACTAGGACGCGGAACAATGGCTTCAAACTACAAGAGAGGAGATTCCATCTGAACACGAGGAAGACGTTCCTGACTGTGAGAGCCGTTCAGCAGTGGAACTCTCTGCCCCGGAGTGTGGTGGAGGCTCCTTCTTGGAAGCTTTTAAACAGCCATCTGTCGGGGGTGATTTGAATGCAATATTCCTGCTTCTTGGCAGAATGGGGTTGGACTGGATGGCCCATGAGGTCTCTTCCAACTGTTTGATTCTATGATTCTATGATTCTATCTTCCACCCCGACAGGGCTATTATTATTATTATTATTATTATTATTATTATTATTATTATTATTATTATTGTAGAGTCTCACTTATCCAACCTTCGCTCATCCAACGTTTTGTATTATCCAATGCAGTCTGCCTCCTGCCCAGATCCACAGCTGTTTCAATACATTGCAATGTCTTGGTGCTAAATTCGTAAATACAGCAATTACTACATACCATTACCGTGTCTTGAACTGCTTTTCATAGAATCATAGAATCAAAGAGTTGGAAGAGACCTCATGGGCCATCCAGTCCAACCCCCTGCCAAGAAGCAGAGAATATTGCATTCAAAGCACCCCTGACAGATGGCCATCCAGCCTCTGTTTAAAAGCTTCCAAAGAAGGAGCCTCCCACACTCCGGGGCAGAGAGTTCCACTGCTGAACGGCTCTCACAGTCAGGAAGTTCTTCCTCATGTTCAGATGGAATCTCCTCTCTTGTAGTTTGAAGCCATTGTTCTCATCCTAGTCTCCAAGGAAGCAGAAAACAAGCTTGCTCCCTCCTCCCTGTGGCTTCCTCTCACATATTTATACATGGCTATCATGTCTCCTCTCAGCCTTCTCTTCTTCAGACAAAACATGCCCAGCTCCTTAAGCCGCTCCTCATAGGGCTTGTTCTCCAGACCCTTGATCATTTTAGTCACCCTCCTCTTGTCAATATCTCTCTTGAATTGTGGTGCCCAGAATTGGACACAATATTCCAGGTGTGGTCTAACCAAAGCAGAATAGAGGGGTAGCATGACTTCCCTAGATCTAGACACTATGCTCCTATTGATTCAGGCCAAAATCCCATTGGCTTTTTTTGCCGCCACATCACATTGTTGGCTCATGTTTAACTTGTTGTCCACGAGGACTCCAAGATCTTTTTCACACGTACTGCTCTCGAGCCAGGCAGTGTCCCCCATTCTTTATCTTTGCATCTCGTTTTTTCTGCCTAAGTGGAGTATCTTGCATGTGTCCCTGTTGAACTTCATTTTGTTAGTTTTGGCCCATCTCTCTAATCTGTCAAGGTCGTTTTGAATCCTGCTCCTGTCCTCTGGAGTACTGGCTCTCCCTCCCAATTTGGTGTCGTCTGCAAACTTGATGATCCTGCCTTCTAGCCCTTCATCTAAGTCATTAATAAAGATGTTGAACAGGACCGGGCCCAGGACGGAACCCTGCTTGGCACTCCACTTGTCACTTCTTTCCAGGATGAAGAGGAAGCCTTGGGGAGAATCACCCTCTGGGTTCATCTATTTAACCAATTACTGATCCACCTCACCGTAGTTTTGCCTCGCCCACACTGGACTACAACAATACAATACAATAAGCCTTTATTGGCATAACATGGCAGAGAGTATAAAACATAGTACACGTAATAAAAAAGGGCTTCTCATTTGCTCTCTAATCTGTCAAGATCGTTTTGAATTCTGTTCCTGTCCTCTGGAGTATTGGCTATCCCTCCCAATTTGGTGTTGTCTGCAAACTTGATGATCCTGCCTTCTAGCCCTTCATCTAAGTCATTAATAAAGATGTTGAACAGGACCGGGCCCAGGACGGAACCCTGCTGATGGCACTCCACTCGTCACTTCTTTCCAGGATGAAGAGGAAGCATTGGTGAGCACCCTCTGGGTTCGTCCATTTAACCAATTACAGATCCACCTCACCGTAGTTTTGCCTAGCCCACATTGGACTAGTTTCCTTGCCAGAAGGTCATGGCGGACCTTGTCGAAGGCCTTGTGGGTTTTTTTCGGGCTATAGGGCCATGTTCTAGAGGCATTTCTCCTGATGTTTCGCCTGCATCTATGGCAAGCATCCTCAGAGGTCAGACCTCACCTCTGAGGATGCTTGCCATAGATGCAGGCGAAACGTCAGGAGAAATGCCCCTAGAACATGGCCATATAGCCCGAAAAGACCCACAAGAACTTATTGGACTAGTTTGTTTTCCAGAAGGTCATGGGGGACCTTGTCGAAAGCCTTACTGATGCCAAAAAGCAGACGAGGAGCCGGTACCCGCTCCTGCTTGCTTTTGTCTTGAGCTGATTTTTGTACAGGAAGGGGACTTCCCGTTACGTGCTCACGAAGGTAATGAAAGTAACGAAATAATGGATGAAAGGAAGGGAAATGGTTCCATGCACAAGTCTAATGCCTACACTGTGTGAGAGAAGTGAAAATCACATGAATTCATAGGACTTTAAAAAGCAGTCACAGATTGATGTGGAAGCAGGTCAGGATGCATTTGAGCAAAATACAGATTGAGCCATTCTCACTGCGGGGTGAAAATCGGGCTAGCGGGCAATTGAGAAGTATTTCTATTTTTATCTATAAAATATTTGGAGGGTGCATGCCTTCGGTTTGACACATTGCAGGTCATGTGCTGCCCTCCCCTTTGTTTGCTTCGTGCATGCTACTACAAACCCTCCTTTGGCTAAGGCAAGGGCTAGCGTGCATATTCAGCTGGGGATTTGGTATTACATTTTGCAAACAACAGAAAGAGGCAACGGGGAGAAAGCTAGGCCAGGAGAGCAAAAGAGTGAAAAACAAAATGACAAGTGGCCTGGGAATATTTAAACACGCTGTCTGGCTTAATCCTTCTCTCTAACACGCGGTCAGCAGGCAAGAGCTTCCATCCAGTGCATAAATATCAGTCCCTGCGCAACGGACAGTTGGCCAGCCAGCTTGGCAAGACAAATGAGCATAGACAGCTGTGAACACAGTACATCGTTCCGAAAGGGCAACCTGCCCGTGAAACAGCAGGAAGCCAGGAGACAACTTTGGAGAAGTTCTTGAGTGTCTTAAAAACAATAATGGCATGGATCTTAGCCCAATGGCAACCCCACGCCATGCAAGAATACCCAACGAAAGCATGCCTGAAAGATGCCCATCCATTCTCTATTTAAAGACCTCCAAATAGGGAAAGTTTTTGGACTCTTCAACATTAGTTTATCCTACTGTTGAATTATTGTTACAGTTAAAACGTTCTTCCGAAGGTTTGGGTGGAATGTCTTTTCTTGTAAGCTCAGTTCATCACATAGAATCATAGAATCATAGAATCATGGAATCAAAGAGTTGGAAGAGACCTCATGGGCCATCCAGTCCAACCCCCTGCCAAGAAGCAGGAATATTGCATTCAAATCACCCCTGACAGATGGCCCTCCAGCCTCTGTTTAAAAGCTTCCAAAGAAGGAGCCTCCACCACACTCCGGGGCAGAGAGTTCCACTGCTGAACGGCTCTCACAGTCAGGAAGTTCTTCCTCATGTTCAGATGGAATCTCCTCTCTTGTAGTTTGAAGCCATTGTTCCGCGTCCTAGTCTCCAGGGAAGCAGAAAACAAGCTTGCTCCCTCCTCCCTGTGGCTTCCTCTCACATATTTATACATGGCTATCATATCCCCTCTCAGCCTTCTCTTCTTCAGGCTAAACATGCCCAGCTCCTTAAGCCGCTCCTCATAGGGCTTGTTCTCCAGACCCTTTATCATTTTAGTTGCTCTCCTCTGGACACATTCCAGCTTGTCAATATCTCTCTTCAATTGTGGTGCCCAGAATTGGACACAATATTCCTGGTGTGGTCTAACCAAAGCAGAATAGAGGGGTAGCATTACTTCCTTAGATCTAGACACTATGCTCCTATTGATGCAGGCCAAAATCCCATTGGCTTTTTTTGCCGCCACATCACATTGTTGGCTCATGTTTAACTTGTTGTCCACGAGGACTCCAAGATCTTTTTCGCACGTACTGCTCTCGAGCCAGGCATCCCCCATTCTGTATCTCTGCATTTCGTTTTTCCTGCCAAAGTGGAGTATCTTGCATTTGTCACTGTTAAACTTCATTTTGTTATAAACTTCATACCATCATCATCAACCTCTTTCATCTCATCGAACGTCTCCTTTGGTGTGCAGCCTTTCAAGTCAAGGAACTGAGGACCACTCTGCATTCCACTGGGTCCATTCTCAAACCTCACACCACTTCAGCACCTGTAAAATCAAGACCATTATCAGTTCTGAGTTGTAAATTGGCACATAACCTATAGAGACGTATATCATTACACATGTGTAGTTTCAGCATCCTGTGATAAATAGAAGTGGATCAGGGAAAATCTTTAATCTCTCTATCTATCATCTCTTTCTCTCTTTCTCTCTATTTACATAGGCTTGGGTAACCACGGAAAAATTTGGTTCTAAACTCGTTTCGTTTTTAGGGGGGCCCTTGCGTTTCGTTTTTTTAAAGAATTCCGAAATTTTCCTTTAAAAAAGTTCGAAATTTACGAAATTTCGTATAATTACGAATCGATTCGTTAATGGCGGACGCGAATGCGCAATATGCTAAAAAACCCTCCAAATGGGACAGGGGGAACTTCTGAAGCTTCCCTCTCCCTCTGTTGTTGACTGTTGGTGTGATAAAACACACAACAACTATAAAACTTGCACCAGACATGCGAAAATAATTATGAAATAATTACATAATTACGAAATAATTACGAAATAAATTGAAAAAAAATTGTTTCGAATCTAATTTACTCCTCACACTATTCCTGCATGGCTCAATATTGGATCGTAAGCTAATTTAAATCCGAATTAATAACGAATTACGAAATTAACGAACGAAACCGCCCAAGCCTACTATCTAGCTATCATCTCTTTCTCACTTTCTATATATTTACATACAGTTAGCTTACCTGTTGTACAGAAGAATGTCTGGCTTCCATATCAGTCCATCTGGAAAACGGACATTTTTCACTCCCGGATAGTCCGACATATTCCACTGGAGGTAATAGTCTGTCCAATACTTGAAAATGAGAAAGAAAAGCAGTCCAAAAATGCAGTCATTTCCATTTCCATTAGGCCTAGCTTTCTTCTGCGGCCTCACCGCCCAGCTTCTCCCCTAAATGAAAGTATTACTTCGGTCTCGCAAAAAGCAACATTATGCTTATAAACACAAACCCTTTACAGATGGCACATTTAGCCACCTTAAGCAGGAAAACAAATTGAAAGCATTAAAATTGCATTTTGGGTCACCCAATCGCACACAACAGCCCGGGAAAGAGATTTCGGCTGGTTTGTGACTTACCGCTCCTGTTGCCTCAAGCATAAAATTGGACGATGGCAAATTATTATTTTGGGGAGCTTACAAAGTCTATGCATTTCCTCCAATTACATTTGTCTTTGGAGCCATAACTCGGAGAGTTCCTTTTCGCCGAAAAATGATTAGACTGTAATAACCGATTAGAAGCACATTAGGTTGGACAGCGAAAGGTCTCTTCTCTGATAAGATACGTGAGCAAATTCCATTCTCCAAAGAAAACAAGGCAGGTCCAAGATTTGAGGAAATGTCTCGTAATAGGAAGGAAGTAGCATTCTGTTCACATCAAGCCCTCATTAAAAATGAATTGTTCAAAGAGTTTCAAGGCCGGCGGGTGAGGAGTTCACACGAACAAGCAAACCACTTGATTAGTGTCAGCTCAGCATATTTCTCCACTAAGCACATCGACTGAGTTGCTACATTGAGGAAACTGAGCATAATTCCATGCTCACAAGTTACACTGCCTTGTTAGTAAATTATAGCTAATAGGCCTGGGTAACAACGGAAAATTTTGTTTCTAAAATCGATTTGTATTTGGGGTTTTTTTTGTTTCGATATTTAATAATTACAAAATTTTCCTTTTAAAAAGTTCGATATTTACGAAATTTCGTAAATGGTAAAAAATTAACGAATCGATTTCCGAAACAATAACGAATCGATTCGTTAATGGCGGACGCGACCGCAAAATACGCTAAAAAACCTCCAAAAACTTCTGAAGCTTCCCTCTCCCTCTGTTGTTGACTGTTGGTGTGATATTATAATTTTTTTCACTAATTAAACCATAAAACTGGCCCAGACATGCGGAAATAATAACGAAACGACCTCAAAACAATAACGAAACGAATACAATATCGAAATACGAAGCATTTACAAAACGTTTTTGAAAATTCGTTTTTTTTAATAATTGCTCCAGAATGGTTCGTTATCGTTTTGTAATTGAAAAAATTAACGAATTATTAACGAATTACGAATTAACGAAACGAAACCGCCCAGCCCTAATAGCTAACTATCCACCTGCAAGCTCAGTGCATGCTGCATGCACAACCATTTGCAATGTGCAAACATATAATGCTAAACCATCCGTAAAGAACTTTGTTTCCACAACTTTAACCTGAATAAGTAAAGGTAAAGGTTTTCCCCTGACATTAAGTGGTCACCTCCAGACTGGATTACTGCAATGCGCTCTACGTGGGGCTGCCCTTGAAAACGGCTCAGAAACTCCAATTGGTCCAACGGGCAGCAGCCAGGATGTTAACTGGGGCCCACTATAGAGAGAGGTCAACCCTCCTGTTTAAGGAGCTCCACTGGCTGCCGTTTATTTTCCGAGCCCAATTTAAGGTGCAGGTGCTTACCTACAAAGCCCTGAACGGTTTGGGACCACCCTACCTGCGTGACCGCATCTATGTCTACGAACCCACACGTTCACTCCGGTCATCTGGAGAGGCCCTGCTCGTGATCCCGCCCGCGTCGCAAGCGCGCTTGGTGGGGACGCGAGACAGGGCCTTCTCTGTGGTGGCCCCCCGCCTCTGGAATGCCCTCCCGAAAGATCTCAGACAAGCCCCTACATTGGCAGTCTTCAGAAAGAATTTGAAAACCTGGCTGTTCCAATGTGCCTTTTCAGACTAGGAACCCCAGTACCAAATCCCAGAAGCACTTTAGTTAGAACCAAGATCACTACACACCGCACACCGCACTTATATTATAATCCCATATCCCTCCGACACATCAGAACTTTTAATCCTGTACCCCTACTCTGGCCGGCTCAGTTTTAATAATGTCTTGTTGTACTGCTATTGTTATTGTTCTTGCTTAACTGTTTTATTTGCTAGGTACTGTATTGTTGTATTGTGTGGGCTTCGGCCTGTTGTAAGCCGCATCGAATCCCTTGGGAGATGCTAGCGGGGTACAAATAAAGTTATAATAAAAATGAAATTAAGTCCAGTCATGTCTGACTCTGGGGTGTGGTGCTCATCTCCATTTCTAAGCCGAAGAGCCAGCGTTGTCCGTAGACACCTCCAAGGTCATGTGGCCGGCATGACTGTATGGAGCGCTGTTACCTTCCCGCCAGAGCGGTACCTATTGATCTACTCACATTTGCATGTTTTCGAACTGCTAGGTTGGCAGAAGCTGGGGCTGACAGCGGAAGCTCACGCCACTCCCCGGATTCGAACCTGCGACCTTTTGGTCAACAAGCTTAGCAGCTCAGTGGTTTAACCCACTACGCCACTGGGAGCTCCCTGAATACGGTTGTTTATTTATTTACAGTATTTATATTCCGCCCTTCTCACCCCGCAGAGGACTCTGGGCAGATTACAATGTACTTATACATGGCAAACATTCAACACACAAGATACATGGACAGACACACAGAGGCTATTTAACACTCCAGCTTTTTCATGAGTGTTATCTGACCACCAGGGGAGCTGTCACTTCACCGTCCATTTGTACTTTCTCATTCTTTGCATGCTTGCTGGAGATTTTTTTGGCATCATAAATTAGCCTCCCCGCATAAGCAGTACCTAAATTTCTTACTTGACAGATGCAACTGTCAGAAGCTCACTCTGATCCGGGCTGGCTTTGAACTCATGACCTTTCGGTCAGTAGTGATCTTAATGCAGCTGACTCCCAGCCAACTGTGCCACAGTCCCAGTGCTGCATCACAAAATGTCTAATTGCTTCCATGAGGAGCATAAACATCAGGATCCTATGCTTAGGAACTGTTATATGTTAGTTCAACCTGTGATTGTGTCTGGTGTTCATGATGGAAATGGGGATGAAGTTCCTGAAGAGACCTTTCGAAGAGACCTTATCCGAGAAGAGACCTTTGCCGTCCAACCTAATGTGCTTCTAATCAGGTATTGCAGTCTATCATAGAATCATAGAATCAAAGAGTTGGAAGAGACCTCATGGGCCATCCAGTCCAACCCCCTGCCAAGAAGCAGGAATATTGCATTCAAATCACCCCTGACAGATGGCCATCCAGCCTCTGTCTATAATCATTTTTTGGCAAAAAGGAACTCTCCGAGTTATGGCTCCAAAGACAAATGTAATTGGAGGAAATGTCTGGGTCTGTTGGCAATGGAGATGAGAAATTGGCCTAGATATTTTGGAATTGTAAGTACTGGGATGTATAGTTCACCTGCAATCAATGGGCACGCGGAACTCCAGCAAAGATGGAATTGGACCAAACTTGGCACACAGAGCCCCCATGACCAGCAAAAAATACTGGAGATCTTTGGGCGAAATTCACCTTGATTTCGGGGTAGCTGTAGTTCACCTGCATCCAGAGAGCACTGTGAACCCACACACCAATGGATCTGGACCAAACTTAGCACAAATACCTGATATGCTGAAATCTGATTTAGATTTGGGGGGAAATGACCTTCCTTTCCTGGAGTTGTAGTTCACCCACAACCTAGAAATGGTGACCTCAACTGAGGATGGACCTGGAGCAAACTTGGTGCACCGAACCGCCATGACTAACTCAACCTACTGGAGGAGCTTGAGGAGACTGACTCACCATAGTAGGGATTGTAGTTTTCCTTACACTGAACCCCACTGATGATACATCTAAGGCAAACTTGCCCAACATAACAAACTTTAAGTACAGATGGAGTTTTTCAGGGTCAACCTGGCATGATGTGAGTTGTAGTTTACCCACAACCTTCTGCATATTGTACAATTAAAACATTGACTTTTTCAAATAACCCAAGTAACCACAAGCTAGTAATATATAAAATATAATATTATACTATATATTAGTTGATCCAAAAAAATGGTTCAAAACTCGTTTCGGATGTAGGGTGCTCATTTCGGATGCTGGTGGCACGATTCTAAAGTCAATTCCGTTTTTCACAGGAAAAAAAACTTTTTGAAACTTCCAAGACTTCTGAATCCTTTTGTTAATGGTTTGAAAGTGCTATTTCCTGTTTCATTGGGTGGTCTTTACTTTGAAAGTAGTTGTTTTACTGCAGAAAA